CCCAGCACGCAGCCGCGAAGCTGTTGGCTGCCCCGACGGGCCGGGGCTGGGGGCTGCGCAGGCGGGGGCCGGACTGTACTTAGCAGGGCGAAGGGCTCGGGGCTGCTCGAGGAGGGCGTGGGAGGGGGCCTGGGCATGCACGTGGGGCGGGTGGGGCTGCCGGGTCGGTGGGAGGGGGGCCCGGAGCTGCCCCGGGCGGGGGTCCTCGGGGGAACCGGGGCTGCGCGCGGAGGGCTAGACCTCCACGCCCCCAGCATCACGCATGGGCCGTGAAAGACGCATCCTGAAGGAGGGCACGCGGGGGGCGGGAAACCCCACTCGAGCAGAGAAGCGGGGGTGGTCCGGCCGGGTGGGGCTGGTCTTCTGGACGCTGTTGCACGGTGTGTTTTGAGTGTGAGAATTCATCAGTTTGTGTGTACTCCTAACCTGTGCACTTCTGTTTTTCTGTTCCATTGTAAGTTCAAAACAAAACGAAATCACCTTTGTAGGCAGCCTGCCTCACTCACCGAGGCAACGGCAGACTTTTCTGCCAAGGCCCCTGCAGCTTGCGTTAGGGACAGCTTTCGCCAGCCTCTGAGGGTCCACAGGGCCTGCAGAGGACCCGATGGGCCCAGTAAGCCGAGGCAAAACGCATGCTCAGCGTACCTGGCCCGAGGCTGGGTGGGGCTCCAAGCCCAGGGGACACAGCCACCTGTCCGCACTCGGTCCCACCCCACCTGTCTGTCTGTGTTTTCTCCACCCGGATGGCTGGCTGGCTGGCTGCCCCAGGCCAATCCCCAAGCGGGTCCTGCCAGTGCTGGACAGACGTCCCAATCCAGCTAATGGTTAGAAAGGCTCTGCTCTAGGAGGCAGCTCCTGGAGGGAGGTCCAGGAGTTAACTAAATATCAAGCAGATCAATAATTCAAACCTCATGAAAAGTGGAAGATTTCACATCTTGCACAGAAACCAAGTGAAAATAGCTGTGCCTGGAGGAGCTGTAGTGGGTCCCCATAACCTTGAACCTGCATCCCGCAGGTCCTGGGCCCCCTTGCTGCCTCCAGACTGGGGTAACCTGCTGTCAGAGAGCCAGGGTTCAAATCCTAGTCCACTCCTGTCTTACATCTTTCCAGAACTCGGTTTGCTTCTCCACACAATGGGAGAACATGCTCCCTTCCCTGTTGCTTGGAGGGTCAGAAACAACACTGAACCACTCAGATCCTGGCTCAGCCCCCTGAAGGGGCCCCAGGTGTGTCGGGGTAAACAAAGGTGCCTATGGGACCTGCCTGTTTGAAGGAGAACAAATCCTAACAATGAGCTCCGTTCCTCGCCATCCTAGGCCCCCAACCCTGACTCTACAGTAACCCCAACACTAAGCCCAGCCCCACCCCTGAACCTATGATAACCCCAAGGCACAGCATGGCCTTACTTCTCATGGAAAGGGCCAGCTCCTACCGCCCTTTGGGGGCACACGCACCTTCCCTGCCCCTTTAGGATCCCAACAACCCCAGAACTTCTGACCCTCTCACCAGAATCCCAGTAAGGCTTCTGGGGTACCAGGCCCAGAGAGGCACCGTACTCACCTCCCTTTGCACGTCACACAGCCAACAGGACGGTGGAGGCCAGAGTGGGCCCTACCGGGAGCCTCCTCACACGTGGCCAGCCCCCACGGCCCCTCTGAGGTCTGCCAGTCAGCTTCCCTGGGGCTCCTTATCCATACCCCATGCCCAGTAGCCAAGTACATGTCTGTGGGCAGGTGAAGGGACATCCTGGCCACCAGAGTCAGGCCTGCAGAGCCCTTCCAAAGTCTCTGCCCCCATCTGGCCAGTGCCCCCCTCAGCAGGGCCCACACCCACCTCAGGCCCCTCACTGCCTCATCCCTCACTTATCTAACCAGCATTTAGTGGCCACTTAGCCAGAGCCTGCCCTCCCCTGTCCTCCAGGGGCTCCAGCCTCCTGGGCCCACCAAAGATAGCACTGACACACGGCAACCCCCGCTGGGGCCAGCATCCACACTCAGTGACCCGAGTAACCTGGCCCCCCCTACAGCCTCCCTGCCTGCATCTCTGATCACTGACTGCTCCACACCTCTCTCCCCCTGGTCTCCCCACCCATCAGGCCAGACCCCACATTCTCCCAGTCTGCCTGGGAGACCAGACTCACACCCTCCCCTCCCCAACTCGGAACGCCCTCCGCTCACCCTATGGTTGTAGGGCCTGTGAGCTTCGTCCAGCCTGCCACAATCCCTGTTGCTGACAGCTGACTGGGTGTCCTGGAGCTGTGGGGACAAATGACCACAAACTGGGGTGCTTAAGATAACAGTTTTGGAGGCCACAAGTCCAAACTCAAGGTGGCTGCAAGGCTTTGCTCCTGCTGAAGGCCCTGGCTAGAACCCTTCCTGCCTCTTCCAGCTTCTAGCGTGGACCCGCACTCCTCGGTGTCCCTCGGTCTGGGGCCACGTCACTCTCGTGTCTGCCTCCGTCGGCACCTGGCCTTCTCCCTGTGTCTCCACGTGCTGTGCTTTTTATAAGGACGCCAGTCCTACTGGATCAGGACCCTGCTCCCGAGTGAGCTCATCTGAACTGGTTACACCCACAAAGACCCTATTTCCAAGTAAGGTCGGATCCCGAAGAGCTGGTGGTTAGGCCCGGAACCTGTCTCTTCGGGGCCACCCGTCAGCCTGCTACAGACTGTTCCCCTGGGCTGCGCCAGCCAACAGCCCCCCAGGGCCAGGTCCCCCAGGCCACCCTGTGGTCACCTCGTCACAGAGTGGAAACAGTGAGGGACCCTGCCCAGCCCAATGGCAACTAGCACAGCCAAGACTGGACTGCGCTGCTCCCAGGGCACACAGCTGGAGCTCAGTAATTGTTCTCGGGTAGTAACAACACTGGAGGAGCCCCAGAGGGCCAGTGAGAGGGCCGTGCTTCCTGGCGCGTCATAGGGGATGGCCGCCCCTCGGGTGGTTCTGGATCTCTCCCCACTTTACAGATGAGGAGACTGAGGCCAGAGGGGCTGTCCTGCTTCTGTTGTGCCCCCAGCGCCAAAGCCCAGAGTGGATTTCAACACTGGGCGGCAGGCTGACTCTGCTGTCAGGTGGCATAAGCCAGGAAGGGCCGAGGCTCAAAGGGCTGGGTTTGGGCCGTGGCTCCAGGATCCTGTAATACAGCTTGACTTGGTGGCCAGAGTGGCCCCTGGGTGGGCAGCCTGGCCTGGACACTACGCTCCCTCCCAGGACAGTACCCTAGGGAGATGCAGGGAGCACCAGGGGGCTGCCCAAGGACGTCCCGTCCTGACGGTTCGGGACTCCAGCTCCTTCCTCCAGCGTTGGCCCCGGAGCTGACCTCGCTGTGGAATGCCCCTTGCAGGCCTCCATGGGGTGCCCCCAACACACAGCAATCAGGGGTGGGGCCGGTGTGGGCACAAACCTCAACATGGCGTTGAGCAAGCCACTTTCCTCTGGGATTAGGAAATGCCCTGCCCTGGACCCCTCACCAGGGTTGGGTCCACAGCAACTTCCCCATTTGTGTGTAGGCCCTGGGGGCAGGGAAGGCTGGGCTGCCACCCACTGCAGGAGCCTCTTGGAAGGATGCCTCCAGAAGAGGGTGGGCGACACCCTGGTGGGATCCTGGGGGAAAGGGTACCTAGACGGGGGGCTGGTGGGAGATGCCCTTCAATCCCCAATGTGTGCCAGGCCCTGGACAGCCAGCTATGTGGTCCCTGCCCCCAAGAACCCGAACCGGGCAGCAGGCCGGGGCAGGGCAGGGGTCCTCACAGCCCCAAACCAGGAAGGGACTCCGGGGGGCAGGGCAGTGCTCCTGGAGGGCAAAGGGACCAGAGGGCCCAACATCGCTGTTTCCCAGAGATCAAAGCCCAGAGGCAGATACAGAGCTGTTGGATGTCCCCCCAGGGCTGGTGTGAAAGGGGCATGCTGCCCCACAGGTGGGCACCAAGAGGGGCGTGCCCCGCCAGGCCAGTCCCCAGGGCTGTCTTGACCAGGGCGTTGGCGTCCACCTTCCTTTGTAGCCTATGAGGTGGTGCCCAGAGGCTGGGGGACCCCGTGGGACTGGCAGGTTCACACTGTGGATCCTGGAGACTGTGAGTTTCACCTCTCTGGGCTTGGAGGTGAGGGAAGCCAAGGGGCCCTCGTGGCCCACACACAGCTAGGACAGGACCCGGCCCCCGCACGCCCAGTGGAAACCCACCTGAGGGCTGGCGTCCCTGCGTGAGGCACAGGACAGGGCACCCACTGTCAGAGTCCCCCGACCGCATCCCACCCCCCCTCCCCAGCCCCCCAGGTGGTTCTGCCGAGCTCTCAGTGCTGAGTCACCCGGGAGGGGGGACTGCGGTCGGAGCAGGAAGGTGGGGCAAGGCCTTCCCCTCCCCGTGGGCTGGAGGAAGCTCACGCTTGGCACGCAGCCCAGCCCCACTGGCTCAGCCCCCGGCCAAGGCCTGGCTGCCACCCTCCTGCCTGCCACTCTGGCCTGCAGAAGGCTGAGACGCCCATCTTTCACCTGGTACCACCCTTCACGGTATCTCCATGTGCCAGGCAGGGCCCAGGTCTCTACCTCTGTCCCCTGGGCCTGGAATGCCCTACACTGAGATTAGGGGGACTTGAGGGGGCTGTAATGGAGGCGCCAGCCCACGTAAGCCGAGCTTGATCCTTGGAGAGCAAAATCAAGGAACAAGGTGGGCCCGCACCTGTGCCACACCTCAGCAGGGACGCAGAGCCCAGTTGAGTATAAGGTCGGGTACAGAGTGTGTGGGCGGAGCTCCATTAGCTGGGCCACCAGGTAGCCCACCTGAGCATACTGGACCTGATCAGTGGCCAAGGAAGAGCACAGAGGCCCAGCCAGGGCACTGGACCACAGGGGTGGTTTGGGAGGTTCCCTCCGGCACTGCGTGGGCAGAGAGGAGACTAGACCAGGGAAGGACAGGGCTGGTGGCTCCCCTGGCGTGTGGGGGCTCCATCTCCCAAGCGTCCCTCCCTCACCTACATTCACGGGGCACGTGCTCTGTTCCAGGCACCAGGGTAGGCAGAGGCTCTCCCAGCTTTGGGGGGCCATGGCCCCGGGCAACAGGAGCCCAGGATTTGCCTGGGCCTGGATGTTGGAGCAAAGGAGAGGAAACCGGAGGGTAGCGGTTGGATGTGCAGAAGGCTTCAGAGGGGTTGAGCAGGGTCACAGAGGGAGTTCCACTGGGGCCAAGAGGTGTGGGGTCCTGGGGAGCCTGAGCTCCAGTGTGTCTCGGGGTCACCAGCACAAGGATGGTCTTGAGAGCCCTGAGAGTGGACAAGGCCACACCCCAGATGGCAGGGACAGAGGAGGAGAGGGGTCAGGAGGCCTGGGAGAGCCCCCGGAGCTGCAGGGGGAGAGCCAGGCAGAGGACCCCTGCAGGCTGGGGCCGGAGAAGTGGCCACTGCATTTGGGGGTTAGGGCTGGGGGCCTGACAGGGGCAGCATGCATTTGCCAGGAGCCCCCTGGGCAAGGTACCCTAACAAAATGAGGTTCTGTGCAGTGTCAGGCTCAGCCAACTTTCTGTGCTGTCTCTGGCCGGGGATGGGTGCCATGCCCTACCTGAAGGGCAGGTACAGTTGTAGGCATGGGTGGCCACCCTCAGGCCACTGCCAGATGAGGTCCTGGAGCCCCCAGTTTCTGCTGGGACTCCCAGTCTCCCGGGCAGCTGAGGATGCGCAGGGCCAGGCCTGGCCACAGGAGGCGCCCCCCCCCCAGCCCTTCACGGGTGGTGTCTGAGGTCCCTGCTGGATGTCCCACCGCTCCTTCGCAACAGCTCCATCGGCCAGGGCGGGGAGCAAACAGTGGCAGGCGAGGGAGAAGAGCACCGGTCACGCTCCACGGCCACTGCCTCTGAGCCTGGGGGACCGGGAGGAAGGGCAGGACCTCAGGCAGCAGAGGCGTTGTCTACTGGTGCTGGGGCCATGGGACCACGGAGACCATGGGGACCAAGGCAGGTGGGACCTGGAGGGCCCAGGTCCAGGAGGGCCCTGTGGGGAGCAGGGAGGCCAGAGGTTCCCACCGGCGGGAAGCAAGTAACAATCCCAACCCTAGTAACCCTAATTCATGCCCCTCCCAAACCTGCCTCAGCCCCACCCCCAGGGCCCCACAGCTCGGGAAGGACAGCTAGCAGAGCCCCTGTGGTCATGCATGGGGCGGAGGACAGGGGTAGTGGAGCAAGGGGGAGGAAAAGCATCCGAGGGGCAAGACCAGGGCCTGAGGGGCAGCAGCTGGGGGCAGGGAGAGCCCAAGCTCCTGGGGCTGCTCCCTGTCCGACCTCCGGGCCAAAAGGCTGAGCTGGCGGTGGGGGGGGGGGGGGGGGGTGGGACCTTTGTCGTCCAAGAGCAGTGGGGCGGGCTTCACCACCCCCACTTCCCAGACAGGAGACAGGTCCGGGGAGGTCTCAGGCTTGAATCCAGCCAGGCTCCACACGGCTTTGCTTTCTGCTGCTTCCTTTTCCCCAACTGGATCAGGTTCTCAGGCACATCTGCCCAGCTGTCCCACTGACCTTGGGTTGTGAATGTTCTGGCAGCAGTGCCAAACCCCACCCCAGACACCCCCGGACACCCCCAGCCACAGACACCTCCACCTACAGACACCCCCATCCATAGATACCCTCAATCCATAGACAGCCCCAGCAGCAGACGACCCCAACCCGCAGAGATTCCTACCCACAGACACCCCAACCCCTAGACACCCCCACCCATAGACACCCCCAACCTTCCCCAGGTACCCCAACCCCCCAGACACCCCCAAACCCCAGATACCTCCAATCTCCCTCCAGACACCCCCAACTCCCCAGAAACCCCCACCCTCCCCCAGATATACCTAGTCCAGATATTCCCCAGCCCCACCCCCCAACAGACACCACCCAGCCACCATGCCCAACACCTGCCCTGGGTGGGGACTGCAGGTGAGTCATGCCAGGCTGGGCTGGGGTCTGGCCTCTGCAGTCTATTTCTGCCTCTGTTCACAGCTTAGGCCGGCCAAGCGGCTAATGTGTTTATTTTTCTGGGAGCCTGAACAGATCCCAGGTAAAGGCCCTGGGGAGAGGGAGGGGGTGGGAGGAAAGTGTTTAGAAACCCCTGGCCTAGGGGCGCCTGGGTGGCTCAGTCGGTTAAGCGTCTGCCTTCAGCTCAGGTCATGATCTCAGGGTCCTGGGATCGAGCCCTGCATCGGGCTCCCTGCTCAGCGGAGAGCCTGCTTCTCCCTCTGCCTCTGTCTGCTGCTCTGCCTACTTGTGCTATCTCTGTTAAATAAATAAATAAAAATCTTAAAAAAAAAAAAAAAGGAAAAAGGAACCCCTGGCCTTGGGCCAGCTGCCCTGGCTGGGTGAGGGTCCTCTGCCCCCACTGGCCTCATCTGCAAAGGCAGCCTCTCCACCCTGGAGTGGGTGAAGGTGTGGCAGGGAGTGAGCACCAGCTCCCTAAGGAGGGCAGGGGCCGTGGTCTGGCCTTCTTCACCTGCCCTGGCCGGTCCTGGCCCTGGTCCTGTCCATCCGGTGGGTGGCATGGCCTGGAGTCCAGTGGTGGGGTCCCAAGACTCAAGAATGGAGGATCTGCATGGCTCCATCAGCAACCTGGCGCCCTAGGTCTGGCCCCAGGTAGGAGCAGGAAGCCTGTCCTCCACCCTCCTCCCTGTGGCCGCTGCCCTCAAAGTCTCTCTAGGTGTCCAGGGTCATTTATGGAGATAGAAGCAGAGCCTGGCAGAGCCTGGCACCTCTGTCTGGATGCACAGGGAAAATGGAGATGGGACGAGCCGCAGACGATGGGCTGAGGAGACAGCCCTCCTCCGAGTCCAGCTCCAGACACAGGAGCTCTTGAGAAAGGCAGAGTGTATTCCCCGGGGCTGCAGATGGCTGGGCGGGTGCTGGTGACAGCCCTGGAGGCCCCTCGGAGCACACTGCGGGGCCTGACAGGATCCGAAGCTGTGACTGGCAACCATTCAAGGAATTGGGAGTCTAGGAGACAGAGAGGAGGGGTGTGGCCGACCGTGGGGGAAGGCAGGGCCAGGGCCAGATCAGGTCATCGGGGAGTGCCCCTCACCCAGTACAGGGCCATCCTGTGAAGCCACCCCCTCGCCAGGATGGCTACACCTCCCTAGGTCCTCCACTCACTTCCGTTCAGAAAAGGGCAGCCTGGGCTGTGCGGCTGGCCCAGGGCCACTGTCAGGGAATGGGCATCGGGGCTGGGTCTGGGGTGGGTGCCCTTGGCCTTCTCTGCCCCTCCTGGAGAATTGCAGCCACTCCTGCCTGCAATGCACAGGGCACCATTTGAGCGGAATGAAGGGTCTAGGGGAACTCAGGGTAGGGGGGCTCAGCCCAAACCTGAAGGTGCCGCGTGGGGCTGTGTGCAGAATGGAGCCTGGCCACCCGAGCCCCTCCCGTTGCTGGGCACCTCTGTTACGGGACCGGCGGAGTCCTCAGCGGTGAGGCCAAGGGTTTCAGGTCTCAGAGGCTCCTGGCTCTCCCCTGCAGGGCTGGTCCAGATGAAGCCCTGGGGAGAGCCTTCCTCTGGTTGTCAGCCACTTGGCTTCCCAGGAAGAACCATCTGCCCACACACCAGCAGTCATCACTCTGCCAGCCCCCATTCTGGTCTTCCACCCCACCCCCAGTCAAAGCCCCCTGCCCTAGAATGCTCTACTGGGGGCAGGGGAGGAGGCTGCAAAGCGGGTGTCGGACGAGCCTGCCCTCTGCCTCAGCTCTGGGTGGGCAAGCAGGCTGGCCCCAGGACACACACCCACAGAAGACCATGCCTGAGGGGCTCTGAGTCTGGGGGACTGTCCTCTCCCTCCTCGGGGCTCCTGTAGAACCAGGTGTCCCTGGCTGACCGCCCCCAGCTCTCCCAGCTGGACCTGCGAGGCCCCTTCCCTCCTAGGGCCACAAGGGCTGAATCCCAGGCACTCCCTCCAACCACTGGGGGAGGTGTGGGGTCCTCCCAGGTCTTGGAGCTCAGAAAAGATGGAGCTGTAGGCTTAGGTAGACTGGGAGAGAGCAGGAAGACCCCAGCCAACCCCGCCTGCCTTTCCTTGTTGGCCATTCTGTGCTCTTCGGTCTTGGGGTGGGGCAGGGGTTGGGGGTCAGGGACTGAGGGCTGCACAGCTCCTACCCAAGAGGAATCTTCAGTCTTCAGGGTGGGTGTACTAGCCCCCAAGTTCCATGAAGATGGGAGGCATCTGGGTGGTGGTAAGGGATAAGAGGTGCCTGAGCTGGGCAGGGTGTGTGTCTAAATAACCTGAGGCAGGGGAGGACGGTGCCCCACCCTCCAGAGGTTGGAAGTACCACCACAGGCGGGGGGATTCCTTTCTGCAGGTGCACCCTGCCCCAAGCACCCCCTCCGATGCCCTCCCACACTAGGGTACCCCCACCTCCAACCTGTGGGTTGAACATCGGCTGGTGGAGGCAAATGGGGGGTACCACCTGAGGCTGGGCTGGATTGTGAGACCCTGTGGGCATCCGCTCCCCCACAAGTGCCCCTACAGATACCCAAGATCCAGGCCTTCATCCGGGAGCCCTAGGACTGACCCTGTGCCAGCTCTGGAGGCTTGGGGCTCTGTTCACCTTTTTCTTACGGGGCGATTTCTTTAGCATTTTGGGGTGTGGGTGGTCAGGCCCCAAGCAGCGGTAGGGGCAGACCCAGCCCAGCCTCTGTGAGTGCCAGGGCTCTTTTCACAGGGCACACGTTGGGTGTGGTCTCTCAGCATCCCAAGGAGAAAGCAGAAGGCCTTGGTGGACTTGGCATCTCAGGAGGGGCAGTCGGATGGTGGACTCAGCCAGGAGGCCAATACTGTCACTCTGCCCGCTCCCCTTTACCTTGGAGGTGGTGATCCTCCACTGATGCTCTCTGCCCTCCAACCCCATGAACACAGAGTCGCCAATGTCTCAGCCTCCTGTAGTCCCAGGAGACTTGGAGTGTCATTTCAAAGTCGGCTGGGTGGAAAGTGTTCCTGTGGTCCCGGCTGGGTGGCTGCCACCAATGGCCACATTCCCTGGCACATCCTCAAACTTGAGCTAGCTTTT